AGCTTTGGGCTGAGGGAGCCTTGGTGACGTGGGGCTCTATGCCCTGGCTTGCGATGCACCCGGCGCACGGGCGTCTTTCTTGGCTTCTCCGAAAAGTTCACGGTGCCCGCAGAGCCAGCGTGAACCGCGAATTGAGAGGGAAAGCAAGGACAGCGGACATTTGCACAGTATGGCACTCCCTCCCCCAATTGACCCCCTCTTGTTACTAAGATCATTACTAAAGTAAATCAAAGGGTGCTTCGCTCAAAAATATACCGCCACCATGATTCTCAGGCGCCCACTTCTCAATGCGACATCCGCTGCCGTATCAATACCAAAGACATGCGTGCGCAACCTCCAACACTCAATTCCCATGCGCCCGGTCCCCAAACCGATACCTTTTATCCCCGACCACACGGCCTTCCTCAGCGCAATTGGCCGCGGCCTCTCAGCACACGCGACAAAGATCCCCTCATGGGAAGCCCTCTTCACACTGACCTCGCCGCAACTGAAGGAACTCGGTGTTGAGCCTGCCCGCGCAAGACGCTACCTGCTGCACTGGCGCGAGAAGTTTCGAAACGGCGAATACGGCATTGGCGGAGACTGCAAGCACGTCACAGATGGAGTTGCCGAGCTGAAGGTCGTCGAGGCACCTGTGCCGCCGAACCCGCAACTCGGCAATACCATAAGTCCTCGCTCGGCGGCTGCAACGGCGACACACGATCCTGGGACCAGGAAGTTGGTTGTCAATGTGCCTGTTGGTGCGGAGAGCCCTCCCGAGTCTGTAGAGACACTGCCAAAAGTCCAGGGTGTTGTTGTAAAGGGCGCCAGCACTATCAAGGGTAGTTTTGTGGAGCCTGTCAAGGGAAGCGGAGGACTTCGTGCTAGGATAAGGCTGCAAGAGGGTATTTGGGAAGAGAGGAGGGGACACAAGGTTGATGGTGGTGAGAGGAGAAAGGCAGAGGTGCGGGCGAAGAGGAGGGCTGCTGAGAATAAGGAGAAGGCGCGGTAGATGTAGATAGCAGATGGAGATATGTTTGCTTGTACTATGAATCAATGTATCATCTTGAGATTTCTGCGTGTGTGACTTTTAAAGACTGGTGATTGTATTGCAGACAGCTACAGTACCACGGAATTGCCCGGTTCTCTGTTCTAATTTCATATGAGAATAATGTTAGAGAATGTGACGAGAAGTTCACCTGTAAACTCCCAAGGAACAAAATTGTACAAATACGTTAGTCCTACGTGAACGAATCAGTATCCATAATTCCTGTTACCTACAACTTCAAAATCTCAGTCCGCATTTTCTTTCCTCCCAAGAGCCTCACACCCAGTCTCTTGACCAACCCCCCACATAATCACGTCAAACCCTACTCCCTCAAAAGTCAGCAAACCATCCCCCCCCAAAAAAACCCCCTGCTCAAAAAACAAATGTAAAGATAAATCTCAAAAATCAACTCAGACCATAACCTTACAATTCTCGCACACCAACAACCACAACCCCAGCGACCAAAAAGATTAGCGCAAGAGGAAGGGTTATCTACTACGCAGTATCTGAACGAAAGGAAGAGCAATTTTTCTTTTGCTAAACCTATTTGTCATCATTGCTGATTTCATCGTTTTTAAGACGAAACAGAAATTCGTATATACTTGAAAGGAAATGTTATCAGACTTACATTTATAATCATACATCTTCGCTCCGTTCTGTTGGATGAAGCAGCGCGGAGCAGAGCAGAGCAGAGCAAAGTAAAGTAAGGCCAGATGTGTACTACTAGTCGGGATATACCTCACTACCTGCACAGAGATAAGTCAAAAAGACCAACGGTTTTCACCCGTTAGTAACAATATCGTTGATTGGCCCCAAAAAGGAGGTTTGCGAGGCGGGGAGGGGTTTATCCCACTAACTCCCGACCCCGACCATTTCGATTTGCGTTTTTGTTCTCCATATAAATGGTGCGGTGCGGGGGGAAGGGGGCATATGTTGAACAGAGTTCAACGGGTTGAGGGAGTGAGAGTGTAAAAAGGGTTGGTTTCGGGTCGAGGGTTGTTGTGGGACCACACAAACCATTGGGCGCGGTTGGGGGGGGGGGGGACCTTGGGCACGGCACTAGTCTAGCTCACTAACTAGCGTGATGTCATTTCTGGTACTCGTAAACTTGGACGGATGGAGGGGAAGGGCTTGAGAAAAGTAGCGCCGATCAATGTCCTTGTTTTGCAGATTAGTTTCGACTTATATGGTGACTGAGACTACCTTGTTAACACGGCGAAGACATATAGGCAATGAAGAACAATAAGAGTATTAGAAAATCACTATCAGCAGAGTCACACCCGGGAACAACCATTCAAAAGCAAATATACCATATAAAGAGATCTATCAAACTTTTTAAAAAGACAATTTCCACTATCACTTCTCAGCACTCATCTCTTGTACAAAACTGCCTTACATCCTTCCTCACCAACATTTACATGTCCATGAGAGCAGCAGCGCCAGGCTCGCTACAGACGTAAACGACTTCATGGCTGTCGCTGAAGCCGTTGAAACGGGTAGCAGAGCACTTGGTGTACGCACCCATCTCCTCAAAGTAGAGCCAGTCGCCAACATCAAGCAGCTCCGGGAAGTTGCAAGAAGAGGAAATAACGTCGATGCCATCGCAGGTTGGACCCCAGATGGAGTACTCAACCTGAGAAGGGCTGTCATATCCTGAGCGACGCACATCGTACAAGACGTTGTTGCCGTTCTTCAAGACACGCGGCACGGGGTGCTGGTGGTCGAAGATGATGCTCGAGAAGTTTCCGTAGACACCATCGTTCAGGTACAGCATATACGAAGTAGTGCCCAGGGTGGCATCGGTGACGGTGCGACGAGCAATGACGTGGCACGCAATGGTAAAGGCAGTGGAGACATAGTAGCGTCCAGGCTCTCCAATAACGCGGATGTGGGGTGGGAAGTACTGGTCCAAGGCTGCGGACAAGACTGCGGCCATGGGCTCGAAAGTGACATCGCCCGTGAAACCGCCGCCAACGTCAAGGGTGTGCATGTTAAAACCAAGCGCGTCTGCCTGCTCAAAGACAAACCGGGCATCCTGGACAGCCTTGACAAAGGCCTTGGGGTCGGATGCTCCGGATCCGACGTGGAAGGCCACTCCGACAACGTTGAGCTCCAACTTCTTGGCCAGCTCCAGGAGCTCACCAGTGGTGTCCAGAGCAGCACCGAACTTCTGACTGAGACGGCACAGGCTAGCTGAGTCATCAGTCAAGATTCGCAGATAAAGCTCGGCGTCTGGGAAGAGTTGCTTGGTCTTGTAGAGCTCATCGGCGTTGTCAAAGGTCATTTGCTTGACGCCAGACTGAGCAGCGTAACGCAAGTAAGACTTGGTCTTGCAGGGCTGCGCATAGATGATGCGAGAAGGGTCAACGCCCAACTTGAGAACGGTCTCAATCTCGTTCTTCGAAGCACAGTCGAAGCCGAGACCCAGCTCCGTCATGAGACGGAGGACCTGGGGGTCAGGGTTGCACTTGACAGCTATTCGTTTGTCAGTCACAATTGTTTGTGCAAAGGGTAGTCTTTGTTTAAGCTTACCATAGTGCGGCTTCACACGGCTTAGATTCTTCTTCCAGCGCATATGCTGGCGGTAGACCTCGCCCAGGTCGGCAACGAAGAAGGCATCTTCCTCGCCAACACTGCAGGTATCAGGATCAATAGCCTCAACACGGCTCTTGAGAGCCTCCCCAATCAACTGCTTGGATTTCCAGGCGCCATGATTGTCGACACTACCAGATGGATAGGTGCTGAAGGACGCTATGTCTTTCAACGGGAATTGGTACTCTTCAGTAGGTGTGACAGCAGAAGGTGCCATGCCCTTGATGGTAGCTTCTGGAAGTTGAGTAGTGGCTTTGGTATAGGTTACTGGCTGGATGGAAATCCCGCGTTAGGGTGGCTTGAAGGGTGCGAAGCCGAGGCTTGGTGTTGGGCGAGGTCTGGCCGCTTCCTCAGCAAGAGGAAGAACCGCTGATGGCGTCCTATGCGGCAGCTGAAGTTGAGGCTGGTCGAGGGTCTGGGTAGGAGACAAAAAGAAAAGACGCTCAAGCTCCTTCTTAGATGGCGACAAGACGGGGAGGGGGGATGTTGTTGAAAACGTGTGGCGCTGGTCGGGCAGATACAACTTGAAGGTTGAGCAGGATCAGGGCCGAGGCCGTAGTGAGATGGGAGCCTTTGACGCGACCAAAGGCTGTCGAGGGGCGGCGATGGGCAGCTACGAGGGTGCAGACACGGTCGCTTGATGGGCAGCGAGGTCTGAAGAGGCGGTGAATGGGGGAGTAGAGGGGGGTGGAAGAGGGAAGGGAGGCGATGGCGGGGAGGTGGTAAGATGAAATTTCGCGCATTCGGTTGTGGTGCTGGAGTCTCCGAACATGACTTAGCATCCCTGCGCCGCCCAAAGACGCGCAGCCACTAGCACCCGCTTCTGACATCACTTGCGGTCTATGCACGTCTGCCCCCGGTGCCTGACCGGCTGATGGGCGACTGCGAGCCATGCTGAGGCTGAGCACCACCAGTTCGCAGCAAAAGGGCGCGCAAAAGAAACGAAGAAAAAAAGCCGCATCTTGGGCATCGACACACACACACCCACACCCCCGTCGCTTACGCAGCAATTTTGATTACACGTCCAACACGAGACAACAGCCATCTTCTTTCGACCTGCCGCGTGGCAGAGCATCCATTACATGTATATTTATTCCGTCCTGTCGCCGCTACCGCCGCGGCCATGCAGCCTGCTCATAACTACTCATGTACTAAAACTAAAAAACAGGGAAAACGCCAGGAGCCCCTCCTAAATCCAAAATGCCGCTCTGCATGCATGTGCGTTATGTATGTGTGTGTGTGTGTGTGTGTGCGCCCGTTTGCGCTAAATCCAGACGCTGGCCAATCGTAAAATGCAACGCCGCCGCCAGGCCAAACCGCCCAAAATTAACCCCAAAACAAAGATCCAATCTTCCATTCAACGTCAAACGTCAACTTTTTTTTAGAGGCGCTGCACCATGATGGGCACATCGGAAAGATCCACTCCATACTGGTGCTGGTAGTGCAGCGACTTGATCGATGCGCAGCTGTGCACTTGTCGTGTACCTGCGCTGCCTCCAACGCCTACGCCACGGCCCTCGTAGTCATATGCCAAACCACCACTGTATCGACCCCACGCTGCCGGATTCTCTGCTCCCTGTACTTTGACCCCCGGCCCTACAGAAGCGCGTTTGCTGCTGGCCACAGCAACTGCATCCATAGAACGCATGCCTTCGCCAATCGTCTTGCGACGCTGTGCCTGCGGCCTCGAGGGAGCCTCCCATTGCATGCTCTGCTGCGAAGTCTTCTGCAGGCTTACAGTGCTCTTAGTCGCTAGCTGATGAGCTGTATGACTGCGCTGGTGACCATGAGGACGGAAGCCGGCATTTGGCCCAAACGATGCTATACTGTGCCTCTTTGATTGCTGTGTAGCAGTATTTGGACCCGACAGCTTGGCCATGTCGATAGACGGAACAGGCGGAACATCAAAATTCTGTGGGCGATGCCTCATTGCCCTGGCCTCACCGGCTTCCACCTTCAAGCTGTGAAAGCTTTTACGTCGCTGCTGCGGCATCACCTCTCTTGAAGCAGCAAGATCTCTGCTATGCGCGCGAGCAAACTCAGCAGCAGCCTTACTATCCATGTTGACCATTGACTTTGAACGCGGAACTGTGGCGCCAAGTCGATGTGGAGAGGCTGCAGAAGCCACAGTCTGCTTTGGGAGCTCTGGCGTCACAGCAGCATAGGGAGAAGTGCCAATCGAGATGGCAATGTGTTCCAGATAACCAGCTTCAATCGCAATATTCGCAGCTGCCTTCTCAGCCTCTCTGCTGTCACCCATCGACTTTCTTCGGAAGAAAGAGAAGCTCCTTCGGTGGCTGCTTGCAGACGGCGTCGGTGGCGGTGCAACCTGCAGCTCAACAAGCTGTTGAAACTCGGTGTGACCTGGCAGTGGGGCATGGGGCTTGGACTCTTCTGCAACGACATGGTCCTTTGAAGGATACGTCTGCGTCAAACAGTCCATGCCAGGGGTACTTGTCACGCGTCTTTCGAACTTGGCTCGCACGTCCGCCGGAACATCGGGAATCTTTCCTTCTGGAATCGGCTGGCACGACTGGACAATCAGAGCTTCTCCCTGCGACGGTCGTCGACGATGAAGACGCTTCGGCGGCTTCCCGGGCGCACTGTCGAACGATGATTTCGATGAGGTTGATCTAGGCGTACGGGGCGAGAGCAAACCCTCCGAAGTAGATGATCTTGCTGAAGAGCTTGCAGAATTCACAGACACTTGTAAAGACGACTTTGGTCGGAGTGTTCGCGACGACTGTACGGTTACCAGAGCTCCTGGGCCGCGAATGCCACGTACAGCACGTGCTGCAGATACAGACGATCCGGACATTTGCATATTCTCTTTGTTCTGCCTGGGAAACCCTGGCTGCATGCCTTCCTTTCCCTGACCTACACCGTGCGAACTGTGACATTGACACTGAGAACAAATCGTGTAAGTAGAACCTGCCTGTTGTTCGCGTTCATCTATGGGCAAACTACCACCAGATGAATAGCCAGAATCAGTTGTGCGTGGAGGAGGTCGTTGCTTGGTTCGGTTCTTTGGCTTCTTCTGTATTGGATTGCTTTGTCCAGGAGGCGCCAAGTTCCTTGTAGCAGTTTGTGATGCAGCCTGTCCTGAAGCCAGATCTTGGGATCTACAAGTGTCTTCCGACTTGGGGTAGTGTGTGTCATCTGAAGTGAATCCCTCGTCCTTGTTGACTGTGCGGTCCTCTTCTGATACCGGAGATGGGCTGGGGGCAAGGTGCGCCTGCGAGCTCTGGGTAGAATGGACCACATCAACTGGATTGTTGTTCACAGCCTCCAGACTGTCGTGTGACTGATTGGGTGATGCAGTCTTGAGAGATTCATCTGCGGACCGAACAAGCTTGACTGTAGTAGCACTCCGAGCAGTCTCGTACGGTAGTGGTACTTCCATAGTTTCTACGATCTGGAGAGAAGAAGTCGCAGGAAGTGTAGCGGATTGACTTCTTGCATGGCCGCGACGCCGTGTCGATTTCATCATTAACGGGCTGGAACCGGGCTCCGTTTCTGAAAAGTAATCTTCATCTTCACCATGAGGGCGAATTGAAGCCCTGATGCTTGATGCCGGTGAAGCAGGCCCGTTTGTGACTACCAGTGTGCCAGGCTTTAGGCTCCCTAGCTGCGAATAGTCCAGCTCACATGGAGTTGATACTCGAGGCCTTGGATCAGGTTGAACAATGTCGGTTGATGGTTTGGCCATTGTAAGATTCAGGTGCGAAGCAGCATGTGGGCTAGGTTTCGACTTGATCTCGTCGTCATACTCAAGCCTTGCGGACCTCCATGAGTTCCACGTCCTACGCCGCGCCTCGACTGGAGAGCTCCGAGTGCCGACTCCGGGTGTTTGAAGTAGCGACTGACGGCGCGTGAGCGATGTAGAAGAGGATTTGTCCACGGCCGACATTCTTCGGCTGCTGCTTGGTTCGCCTACTGGGTCATCATTCTCTTCGGGCATTTCTAAAACTTGCTGCAGAGCCGCGATGTCTTCCGGAGAACCATTTTTCTTGACTTGTTGCAGCAGCTTTATAGCTTCGGCAATATCTACATTTGAGCCTGAAACGAGGGATAGCTTGGAATCGGTTATGCCTGCAAGCCTGGCTGCTGAACCGTGTTTGCTCCCGAAGCAGGATAGCGAATTGGAGCGTGAATTGGACCTGGAGTTTGACCTTGAATTCGTCCTCGAGGCCACGGACAGAGGGCTGTCGCGTACCTTTGTCGTGTCAAGTACGCTGTCCCTGGTTTGCGACAGGATGTCGTGGTCAAACTCGCCAGTTGTGGGCGAAAGGAGAGCGTCTCTGATCTGCTGCCGTCCTTCTGGAGTGAGATCGGCAGGGCCCGAGAAGGAGCATTCTGGCAAGTCGCTCTTGTAAGCTGTGTTGACGGAGTTTGTGTTGGTCTTTGGCTTGGAGAGCTTGTTTGCATTTGGCGTGCTGGACTGATTGCCCATGGTGGTGTCGGGCTGTAGCGAGCGTGTGGAGAGCGGGGAACGCTCAGGCAGAGAGAATAAGATGCATTTGGGAGATTAAGATTAACAGCTGGTGAGCGAGTCAACCGCTGGTCTTGCCGATGCGGGGCGGAGGGGAGGAGGACGGCGTATGCTTATAAGGCCTGACACACAGCGGCGTTATCAAAGTGGAGGCTGGTATGCGCGCACCAACAAGCGGTTTGGCGGTACACTAAGGAGGGACGAAGCGTATTATTGAAGAAGAAGAAAAGGTGAAGGTCCCCGCACGAACGGGCGACTAGCGATGGTCCAAAGCGTCGGTGACAGGTATCAAGGATGCTGGCCTAGGCCAATGTACCCACCGCGCGTGTTGCAGGCGCGGTGGGTGCGTGTTGCAACCGACAACAAACCTGGAAACCTGGAAGAGCGATGAGCTGAAACCTGGACGTTGCGTCTTGCAGCGAAGGTTGAATGAAACGACCAATGGTGCCCATGTCTCCATCCATAGCGCCCGCGGCCAATGAGCGCGTGGGGGGCGTTATAGGCTACGGGCCAGCACAAAGCTCGCACTGTGCTTTGCCGCATCCGTCATGGCCAACGGCTGATCGGAGCGATCCCGTCGTCGTCGTCCATGGCAAACTGCTCCAAAAACCGGCATTCCTCTGCTTGGCCCATATCCACCCGGAGAGCATCTCCCCAACCAGCCCACTGTGGCCGTGCCGATATACGCGCCGCCTGCTATATAGCCTGGCCAGGCGGCCCTCTCCACAACTGTGGCTTGCCCCCCTCCGTCATTTCCTCACTCATTTCCCTTTCCCTCACCCTGTGGCGCAGGCAAACTCCTCCCTCCATGTCCCGGCTCTGCTTCACCTACACTGTATAGTTTGCATCCAATTTCCTAGCCAATGATCCGAAACCGCCAGCCCACTACTAATGCCTTTTTTCCCCCGTCCGCTTGCTTCTCCACAACACACTCTAAGCGTGGTTCGCTGCCCTTTGCAACACGCGCGTCGGCTTCGTTAGTCGCTTCTCAACGTCCTTTTTCAATACCTGACCTGCAGCAATAGGCAGTTCCTCTGCGCCGCTTTTGGCTCTTGATCGGCTAGTTTGCGCGCAATATGCCCCCTCTTCTCTTCGCTCGTCTGGTTGCCGACCCTGCATTCGCCTTGCAGAGTGGTCCATTTAGTAGTACCAAAGGTGCAAACAAGCAGTCGGGCTAGCCAATGCATGCACATGCACGCCTCTGCGATGCGAACAGTGCGGCAAGACAGATCCAAATCCTGCGAGCCCAGCCTCATATCGGAGAAGGCCTCAGTCCGGATGCCGAGCTAGGGAAAATAATAATCATAAAAAGCCTCGCCCGCCGTCTGGCCTCGCCCATGGCCCCCCCTTGTTCTTTCGGCCCCAAGGTGGTTTCATTCAGGGTTCCACAGGTCTCTCAGGGGACAAGCTGGCTTTTCTACGTCACACGGCCGCTGCTTCGAGCCAAGCGGAAAAAAAATCCGGTAAAAGGCAAAGTGAGTGTGAGTGTAGTAGTGTATACTACACGGCATGTAGTGCTACTAATACTTTGTATCCGTGGGGCTGTCGACTTGTCGAGCTTTGCGGACCGGACGATCACGGACAAAGTGCCGCACATAGTTGCGACCCAAATACTATACATATACGATTTGTCTGGGCAACACCGCACGCATCGGGCTTCCAAATCTTCCCTCGACGCCTATCACCGACGATCGACAAGACCTGCCGTAGCGTGCCGCAGCAAAAAGTCGGCGTTGCGACTACATGCACACCCGCGCACCTCTTTGATTCCCTAGGCAACCCTGTGCATAGTACAGTACACTACCTATGTACTACAAACATACATGCTTATCAACCTATATGCTTACATACAGCACGCACTTTGCTCATATGCCCGAGGAGTGGCTTAGTCGTCGTCCCTCTACGCAATCGGAAGGGCTCGGCCGCGCTGGTGACGTGACGTTGTCGCGGACACTGGCGCCATCTTACCAAACCTGGCTAAGCAGCCGCGCCAATGGTCATGGTTGACATCATAGCCACCGCTGGGCAACATCACCACCAGCCCTGCGTCCGAATCTTCGTGCGGTTTGCGGTGGAGTCATCTTGTGCTTTTACGTCCTTGGCCTTGTACATTAATCCTTCGTTGGTTCCCTGTTGTTGATCCGTGTGTTCCGTCCTTTCCTACCTCCACTTCCTTCCTTCTTACCCGTCTTCTGATCCTTTCAACCCCCGATAAAATCACTTCCTTGCCTCCGAACCAACCATTAGAAGAAAAAAATGCTCGGAATTTCTTATTGGATCGTCCCCATCTTTTCCTCGATAGTATGGATTGGCATGCTCGTCGCCATGATGGTGTATTGGGCCTCCACTGGCAAGCCCATATACTCAACAATGAGCGAAGGACAGCATATCCCATACATCTCTGGTAAGCTACCCTCATTATATGCTAGAAAATTCCGCATGTTCTAACACAACCAAGATATTGGTGCCGACACGCTCAAGCCCATGTTCATTGCAATGTCTGTCGTCACGGTAGTAACATTCGACTGTGCCTTCATTTTCGAGCGATGGCTGCGACACACCAACAAACTCCGCCCAAACACGTCCAACTGGCAGAAGCTGTACTCCGTATGCGCTACCGTCGCCGCTGTCGCCGGTGCCGCCGGTCTCATCCTCCTCACCATTTTCGATTGCAAGCGACACAACACCCTGCACAACATTTTCCTTGTCGTCTTCATTGCAAGTTACATCATCAGTGCCATCTTCATCTGCTGGGAATACCAACGCCTGGGTGTTCATTACCGTGAGGAATCCATTCTGCGCATCTCCTTCTGGATCAAGCTCTTCTTCATCATCTTCGAACTTTGTCTCGTCATTGCGTTTGGCGTTTGCTCTAAGCAGGACAAGTGGAACGTTGCTGCTGTCCTGGAATGGATCATTGCATTTACCTATTGCTTCTACGTCGCCAGCTTCTTCATCGATTTCCTGCCCGCCAGGCGCACAAAGCACCACCAGTCCAAGGAAACAGAGGTGCAGATGTTGGAGGAAGGCGGTCAGGCGCATTCAACTACCGACAACGCTCGCATGGGTGCGCCCTACCCTACTCCTCTCCCCTCGAGGAACTTTTAGACCATCACATCTTTTCTTTTTTGTCTAAGACTCCTTTATCTTTGTGATTGCATGATTAAATGAGTAAATATACCACTAGCGTTGCTGTCTTTTTTTTTCTGTTTTTCAGCTACATTGTATAATAGTATCATGACGAGAATGCAACGAAGCATATGGGTTGGGTTTTGCTTTTCTAAATTCTCAGCATGGACATTCCTCCACATGCGTAGGACCATGTAGAATTAATACTAGAATACACTGAACATGAAGTATACGTAGAATGAATACATCCCCCTAAACTGATTTAATTACGGGCATCGAAATGAAGATATTCTTTGCATCAGACGAATACATGCTTTAAAATCCAACCATGACTACATGCTCATGCATGTAGAAGGGGGGGTATCGTCTCATTACTCAACTCTACAATATCTCTATGATGCAATCTAATCAACCCCTTCATGCTTTTTCCACTGCACCAACAAATGCATATATGCAATTCCACGAATGATTGATTTCCCGTTTAGCATAAACCCACATATTTTTTTTCACTTATAATACCCATTATCCCTATACTTATTCTTCCTCTCATATCTCTCATCATCCTCGTATTCTTTCTCCCTTCTCCTTTTCCTGCGATCATCCGAGTCGCGACTACGACTGCGATCCCGGCGGTCGCTTTTTGATTTGGAATCCCGGCTTCGGCTGCGATATCGATCGCGGTCCCGACGCCTGTCTTTGCGGTCGTCGGGGCTGCGGCTGCGGTCTCTGCGCTTTTCTCTTCGTCGCTCGCTGTCGTGGTAGTCATCGTCGCGGGTGCGCTCTCGTCGCTTGTCGCGGCGCCGGTCGCTGTCATGGTAATCATCTTTCTCGCGTCGACGGTCTTTGTCTCGTCTTCGCTCGCTGTCGTAGTCGTCTTCGCGTCGGCGGTCGCGGTCCCGATCGTCTCGCTTCTCCCTCCGCTTCTCGTGCTTGCGCTCATCTTCGCTATCATCATCGTATTTGCTCTTTGGTTTTGAGGCTTTCTCCTCCTCCACCAATTTCTGATTCTCAAGTTTTGCCTTGAGTTCTTCCTCCGTGATGATCTCGCCTGTATGCTTGTTCCGTAGCGTGACTGGATTGTAACTCTGGGCAACCTTTTTGCCTTTACCCTTGCCCTTGCCGCCGCCCCATTCCCCAAGCTCAATGCCCACTGCTGCATCCTCTTTTGCGCCAATGCCCAGCAAAGCTGGTCGCCGCTTGATCTCCTTCGGCTTCACAGAGGTGCCATTTTTTCCAATTCCTTCGCCATCTTTCCAGCCCATACCGCGAAGTAGCGCTGCGCCGAATCCTTCGATTGGGGTAGCTTCGTAGGCTTCGAGCGTAGGGGCCTCGGGCGCGTTCTGCAAGTCGTGTTGAAATGCCTCCTCTTCGGTCTGTACAGGTATTACGAGTTCGTTGTCAGTCGATTTGCCCGTTATCAGCGCTTCAAGTGCCTTCTTCTCCAGCCGCTCTTGTTCTGTAAGATTGTCTTGCTCTACTTCCATCGGCTCCGGCGCGTCAGGCTCTGCAGAGCCGTCTTCTTGTGCATCGTCTTTCTTCATGACCGTCAGCCCGTACTGGTACTTGGGCTCCTCAATTTGCTTCTCGTCGACCGTTTCGTTCTGCCCTTGTTGGTGTGGCGCCTTCGCAAGGTGCTTCCGCCGTGCTGCTGCGCGCCAATCGCGATTTGGCGGCACCGGGATGACGCGAAGTTGCTCCTTTTCTTTCTTGCCGTTGGCATCAACCGCGCCGCCCTCTGCTGCGTCCCATCCTGTAATTTCTTGCTGTTTGACCGCATCGTCCGGTTCATCGTCGCCGAGGAGAGCCTTTGGTTTTTTGTTGTCTTTTTGCGCTGGAGATGCTTTTAGTCCTGGCTTCGCCTTCAGGGCCCCCAGCGACATTTTGAAGCCGCCCGGCTTAGGCGCGGCCATGATGAAATGTGAGACTGCGGGAAAGCGCTGGCGATCTGATTTACACGTTTCGCTGGTATGCAAGTGAGAAAAAGAAGTATTTGCGACTGGTTTTGATGGAAGGCGCAAAGCAAAAGCGGTGATATTAGTAGTGACAAGGTTGTGATAATGTCAGAGTTGAGATTGTTTCTTCAGAAATGTTTAGGTCGCGCGCGATGATGTCGGTCTTGGCGCTGGGCTTGCAGTATCAACCTATCAACGCTTAACTAACCGACGAAACCAGGGTCTTACCCAGACAACTGAAGCTTTTACTGAACCTAGTTATCATATCCTCATGTCTCATTTCCTGGTCTTTCTTTATGATTACAATAACATATCATACACAAATGTACAAGGACTATTCGAGGCTTGTGAGCGGTGGGAACAGCACACCCTTGTACATCCCACCCAGCTCCACCAGTGGAGTTCCATAGTCCAAATCAGCGCCAGGCTTGCAGTATTCCAGCGTTCTGCGATCAGGCTGTACACCTAACTGGTCGAGCAAAGTATTTGTCTTGTTCGGCATGTAGGGCTGGAGCAGGATACCAGTGATGCGAAGCGCTTCAGAGGCAAGATAAATAATCTTATCCACTTCCTCGCCAGGCTCACCAGGGCCGAAATGTAATACTTTGCCCCAGGGCTTTGACATTTGGAAGAATGCATTCGACTTCTAGACGTCAGTAGTGATACAATGCAAGGGTGCTTAGTATCTTACTCCTCGTACGAAATTGCATATCTGGTAGGCGGCTTGGCGTGGATCGTAAGCATCGAAAGAAGCCTCTACTTCTGAAGCGATAGTAGCAAGTGAATTGTTGTAGAACCTGGCACCCGGACCTTCTTCCCAAATCTCTTTCGGACTTTGACCTATACGCTCGATAGCACCCCGGACACTCCACTTCTTACCTCTTGTAACACGAGAAGCAAGGTTACCGAGTTGCTGATTCAGAAATTTGGTATACATGCTGATGATGCGGTCGTTATCATAGCTAGCATCATCTCGTATGCCACCCTCAGAAGCCATGTAGAAGCGCATGACATCTGGTCCGTATCTGTTGAGAGCATGGAAAGGATCTACTACCCTGCCAGTCGACTTAGACATCTTTGATCCCCCAAGAGTCCAATGGGCGTGGGTTAGTATCTTCTTTGGAAGGGGAAGTCCAAGTGCCATGAGAAAAGCTGGCCAATAAATGCAGTGGAAGCGGACAATGTCTTTGCCAATGACGTGACAATCAGCGGGCCAGCCTCCTGCTTTTTCGTGCCCGGGAGTCCACGGGTAACCTGCCTTTGTAGCGTAGTTCATGAGCGCATCAAGCCACACGTAGATAGTCTGTGAATCGTCTCCGGGAACTCGAATTCCCCATGTCAGTCGATCGGATGGCCGGGAAATTGACAAATCCTCCAGACCCGACTCAACCGCTTGCACAACTTCCTTCATGCGATGTTCAGGCGTGATCCATTCGGGGTTTTCCTTGAAGAAATCTAGCAAATGGTCACGAAAGGCTGAAAGACGGAAGTGATAATTCTCTTCAGAAGACCACTCCACTTCACTACCTGTCTCAATTGATGTCTGTGGTTTGGTTAGTTTAAACGGCAACAGGTAATCGGCCCAGTTATACCATTATCTTCCGTCCTGACGGTGGGTCAAGGTATGGCTGCACAGCAGACTGTGGGTAGAAGCATTCGTCTGTGACTGAATACCAGCCCTCATGTTTCTGCTCGTATATGAGGCCCTTCTCTTGTAACAAGTACTACGCGCCGTCAGCTAACTTTCTGTTCTGCAGTACATATATAGTCCCATACCCATGCATATTCTACAGAACTCCTATGTTCGCGGTCGGTCGTTCGTACGAAATGATCATTTGTGATTTCCGCTTTTTGTGCAAGTTCCTTTGAGGAGTGAGTATCAATGGTGGGGCTCGCTTTGCATACATGCGTACTTTGAAGATTTCGGCGCCTTGGTCGCAAAACAGCTTTGGGTCGACACCTGCCTTAGCTGCTGCTCTTTGTACCTGCAGGAGGATTAGTGAATGTCAGCTATGTTTGTGAGGCGGAACCACCTTTAGGCCATGTTCATCTGTCCCCGTACACAAAATAGCGTTCTCTCCCTTAAGTACATGCCAACGCTTGATTACATCGGTAAGAACCATAGTATACAGGTGGCCAACATGAGGGGCAGCATTGACATAGAATATAGGTGTGGTGATGTAGTACGGTTTCTCAACAGAGGTCTGGGTGGTGATAAACCGTCGACTGCGATTGCTATCAATTCGACAGGACGACTGGATCCATGGTGAGCGCCTTTGGAAGCCGGAAAATACCCTCCGGAATGCCGGAATTGTCGTATTGGCTATTCGGACATGCATGCTTTCATGGTTGTCTCACATCTATTATTCGCGACAATTCTCGCGTGCACTTTCGGCGCGAAGCCACGTGCGGCGCTAGCTCAATCAGTTGGATCAACTCCCAACTTTCGCCAGTTACCCCACCACTTCATGTACAGCAGCCATTGCGACAAGACGAGTCGTGCATATACTTGCGAAGGTATCTAGAAGCATGTATCACATGTTTTGATCAACTTTCTTGCGCTTAACACCAGTCGACCGATTCTCCTCAAAAGCGAGTTTCCTCCTTCAAGGCGTAAACCACATCAATATGAGACTGAGATGACGCAGACATGTGTAATTTTTATCGCAAAAGATCCAAGTCGGATCGGAATGGCCGCCCACTGTCCTTTCTCAAGGGTTGCAATACTTGTATCGGATAGTTGGGACATGCACCTAGCAATCCCAAAGGCAATCTGCATGAACGCACGCAGCAAGCATATTTGTTACGGTTCTGTCCCTATATTATGAACTACAAGATGATACTCCTTAAATAAAGTTAGCTCGATTATCTACAATCACCCCGGTGTTACTATTGGGCCAAGCTTCTTACGATACATATCCTTGTATTTGAGCATCCGTGTTATGAGTACAGAGGCCTATCCTAATTGAGCTGGAAACGTCTGATTATATTTCATAATCTTCAGTGACTAGCTTTCTTCGCATAATTGGCTTTACATATCGAGCGTTGCGCTAACATGCGCAGTACTTACTCTCAGCACATGGCAATCCTGTAAACGAACCACCTTAATATCCGCAGGTGTCTGGATCTTGCGCCAAAACTATAGCGTACCCCATCGATTGAGCCCCGCAGCCTGGTCATGTCTCGACCAAAGGGAACGCCCTGTGGTGAGGCTGACGTTGGACGCTCGTGATTCGTGCCAAGCCCACGGTTTCTATTGAAGCTATTCAGATCCAGAAAAGGTAATCTTAACGACATACCTCCATCACAACGCCCTCTTTGATAACTGCAGTAATCCCTTTCATGAATCTTGAAGGGACAGAAAGAGCTGTACCCACTCCATACATTGCTGGTTGGCAAGAGCGTTCTGGAATCAGACTATTCGTCACGATCGAAAGCATCTGTGATCTCAACGGTATCTTTTTGACGGATACTTTCTTTCCATTGGTCCGGACCCATTTCTATCAAGAAGTATCCCTTTGTTGCCTTTTCCTTCACCTGATCGGACGGTTTAGTATTGCCTGAATAGCCATTGACTTCACTGTTTGTGAATCTATTGATCACCATGGGGTCTATTGATGTTATTGAGACCAACAAACTTCCCGACTCACTACATGCTTTATCGTTTTCGAACTTAAATGATACGGATTCTCAGTAATTCTGTCCTCATCATCGAGTACAATCTCAACGACCACCGTCAACAATTCGGTCCCGAATCGATCTGCGGCTCCAACTTTTAACATCAGACGACTAAGCAATCCAATCCTGCATCATGAGATTCAACGCCATTATCGCCTCCGCTATCCTCGCGGCCACCGTCTCCAGTGCAGCACTTCCAGTGCCTGTCGAGGCCGCCGAGAAGCGCGAAGCTGAGCCGCAACTCCCGACATGGCCGCGCCCGTATGGTCTCCCTCATGGCATGGCTGCTGAGAAGCGCGATGCTGATGCCGGAATAATCTGGAAACGCCCTTACGGTATCCCACACGGTATGGCCGCCGAGAAGCGTGAAGCTGAATCACAACTCCCAACCTGGCCGCGCCCTTATGGTCTGCCACACGGCATGGCCGCTGAGAAACGCGAAGCCGAACCTGAGCCACAACTCCCAACCTGGCCACGTCCTATCGGCCTTCCCCATGGTATGGCCGCTGAGAAACGTGAGGCTGAAGCTGAGCCGCAATTACCAACCTGGCCACGTCCTTATGGCATCCCTCATGGCATGGCTGCTGAGAAGCGCGAAGCCGAGGCTGAGCCACAGTTGCCAACCTGGGACCGCCCTTACGGTATCCCACATGGTATGGCTGCTGAGAAACGTGAGCCAGAAACCCCCGAGGAGTAAGCATCTCGTCAATTTCAACAACCTCCAAAGGTCACGATGAAAGGCCACAAAAAATGTTGTAATTTCATGTTCTTATCACAACAACTCTTATTCTTTTGGATACACTCGACGGGCACTCCAATCATCCTCCAGTTTCTACCTATCATATTTGGGCGCCTGTTTCAGAACATATAACAATCCGTCGCATAGTGTATATTATTTGAAAGCTCTTCATTTTGATGCCATATACAGTGGCATGATCCAGCATTTGGCTGGTATCTACTACAGAGCAGGACTGGTATCCCTCTTCTTGTTGGCATCTACGGTACGGGAGAATGTCCACACATGTTGGGAAGAGGGCTGGTCTCTTGTCACGCAAATTACTCTTGTATTGGTTCTTGGATATAATCTTCGCTTAGTTAGTTTAACTCATGTCGACTCGTACCAAATTTCCCCTTTCCCATGAACGAACGGCGTGGGCAATTTTTCCATCATTTATTTCGACGTAATAGTCAAACCGAATGGTCTATTTGATCTTTCTGGCACCCTTGTTCTGGTACCGCACCACCTGACACCAACTGTCGTGACACACGATCATATCCCATGAATCAAACAAACATCAACACAATTACACCGTCATGACCCGTATCTTCGCATGTTACGCTACACAAAGCGATTCTGACAGCTGTCAGTACCACTTTCTGCTGCAACCTCTGAGGGTGCTTCGCACCAGCGACAGGGCACTCTTTTTTCATACAGGTATCCGCTGTCATTCACGTGTTCGCTATAGTTGTGCCGAAATACCTGCCAGGATAAACAGCTTGTGACTTTGATATTAAAGTGATATACCGGAATGACCCGGACTAAGGGAGGGACAGGCATGGAAAATTGGTGATGAAGGTGATGTGTGCGATCAAACTTTCAGTGGGGCTAGGATACGGATAAATGAATCAGGCTGTGTGTAATGCATATTGAACCCACAAAGTTCATGCTGAACCTGCTATGACACCGTTTGAAACCCTTAATGAACAACATTAATGTTCCAACAAGTCGGAAGCTGATGTTTTTGTTCTCATTCTCTGGAATCGTATTTATTTACTCACATTTTTAGTTTTTTCGCAACCATCAAACCACGCCTTGTCTAGCATACAACACCCTCGAAACCCAAATACCCTCACCATCGCAACCCACCTTTCCCCCCTTGGCACTCATCCACGCATGAATCTCCAGTAAAACCATAGGTACTTACTCCTCATCACATCTCAACCTCGCATCCGCGTCCGCATCCGCATCACGCACAACAAAATCACACACCCAAAACCTCGTCCTCTGCCCAATTTGTCAAACACCAAAAACACACCCCCGCTTATCCTTCCCCCCCCCCAAACTCAACCCACCTCCACCAACACTTTCCCTCCCATCCCTCGCCTACACAAAAAAACTCCGGTACACTAAATCCCCTAGTAAATAATAGCTTCCCTACTAGCCCTAGCCCCGTAGCCCCCAAACCCAAGCAAGTAAAAAAACATCCTAACCTCGTATCGACCAAAAACGCGGCTCACTACTTACAAACCCAACCGCCCGTTCCCGAACCGAACTCAAAAAAATAACCCCCACTAACACGATAGTGAGAAAGAGAGAGAGAGACGGGCTACCAAGGGTTGCAGATAACTTGTATACAAACTTACCCTAGCAATTTATTTGAACATGCTAATAATAAAGCTAAAGCGGGGGGGTTTCCAACAAGAAAGACTAGAAAAAAAGAGGAATGAAGGGGACGAAAAGAGAGTGAGAGAGGGGAAGAAAAAAGTGGGCTACTAGCAGATTGGCGGGGGGGGGGTGAGGGGGCTGAAAGTGCACGCCAAGACGAGTTGATTGCAATCGAGAGAGTGTGAAAGAGTGTGTGAGAGACAGGTGTGTGTGGAGCCCCTCCAGATGCCGGGGCTGGCTGGGGGTGTGTTGTTGTTGTTGTTGTTGTTGTTGTTATTTTTCGAGTCAACTACCAAAGGTCAGAAGTTCCAAATCCAAGTGCTATACTATCGTACGTACGTACGTACGTACAGTACTTTGTCCGAATCCATTTGCCCGTCCCTAAGAAACGATTTATGCAATCCACACACTACTACGTATGTACAAACAATTTGAAAAAAAAAACTAAACTTCGTAATCCACACTATGTCCAATCTTTTTTAGTCATGAAGTTGCAAGCTTCTTCTTTGACTGTTCTTACTATGCTCACCCCCTTGTTCTTGTGACATAACTTCGTTCTCGCATTCGTTGCATGGGAGGGGGGGGGTCCCTAGGATGGCGTTCGAGCGCGCCGTCAATGCGTTAACGGGATGGAAAAGGGCCACCCCCCCCCCCCCAAAAGAAGTTACCGCTGGCTCGGGAATCGGGTAATGACAAATTATCGCGCTTCCGTTTCTCTTTGGATCGGAAGAGCAGGGTGTTTCGCTTAGGACGTGTGATGGGCGCCGTATCTGTATTGCTGATGCCGCGTTTGTCAAAGTTGTATTTTGGGAGTTAGGCTGTATTTTGAGGTTGCGGGGGTGGTGCTGGTGGTGGGTGAGATACAGGCAAAATTGAGGTAATTAGTGGTCTTTTTTTGTTGAGGGGGGTTGGGTTGGGTGGTACGACAGAGATTGATGGAGGGGGCCGAATGCAAGGTACCATGCATGGATGGTTATCGGACACCGAGATGTGAGTATTGATACATTTTGGTGTTGTTTTGTCCAGTTTCTATTTTGTGCCTAGGAGTTGGGGGCTCGTTATGTGAGTATGCGGCACAGGTCCAAGTCAACGAACAACTGTGGGGACGGAATGATTGTTGCCGTTCGAAATAATAATAGAGATGGATGGCTAGTGACGAGACAGGAAAGTCCAGCCGCAGGCAATCTAAGAAGAGTTCACCACACAAGACAGAGATAAGTCGTAAAGTCATTTCATTCGTTACAATACCAATATTCGATTTCTCCTGGCTCTCTTCTCCTCACATGGCATTCTCCTAACACAGTTTACCTCCAATACCTCAATATAAACAGTAGCTTTTCAACAATAACAACGAACATCTGCCATGCCCCAAATATATCCAATAAATGAGTGCGCGAATGTCTGTGCTAAGCATGACCCCCCATACATGCAATCTTTCCAACACATTAACCATGCCCAAAACCAAAACTAGTTGTCGTCTCTGACCTTGCGGCCCCGCTGAGCGTTCAAAGTCTTTAGATGTATGCATTGAAAATAAGCATGTAGAGAGAAGGAACGCGAGAAAAACAAAACAAGACATGTATACTAAGAAAAGAAACAGAACGTAAAAGGGTATAATAGCGGGTCATGATCAGCTCACCAAAGTGTGCTGCTAAAAAAAAAGAATTTGAGAGTGGAGAACGTTGGAAATTTGAAAGAAAAAGAAGAAGAGAATCAAAACTCGCCTGCTCGCTTGCTGAAAAGGAAGGGAAAAAAATCGAAGTAAACTCCAAGGAAAATTGAGAAACATTCTCGTGGTGACCCTACATGTTAGCACCATTGACATTGACCTGATAGCCGTCGCTTTTGGCCTTCAAAGCCTTGGCCAACATGAGCTCACGCATCCAGTCGATCCTCTGGTCTTTGGTAGTGACGGCAAAATGTTGAACCTTGCCGTTAGGCATTAGCTTCTTGACATCGCCTTTGCCAGGAGCGGTGGGCACAAGCTGAAACTCAAAGGCGGGCGCATTGGCAGCCGACTTGTCCTTGTGATGACCCGAAGAGAGCTTGAGGGCCCTAAGCTTGCTTGAGAGCTTGTTTGAAGCGAGCGACGAGCATGCCACAGCATAGTCATCTACATCAATGGTTTGCAGTGCAGACGAGGAAGGAAGCTCATTGGGGTGCATGGCCAGCAGCGTGCCCTGGAGCCGGAAGTGGTGGTCTTGCCATTCATGGCGCAAGAGTTTGGTTCGGCGCTTCTTCATCCAACCATGGTGGTTGACGCCCTTGTACACGAAGCCGCCCTTATGAAGAGGTGCAACGGTGTCTTGGGCCTCCATGTCAAATGGCTTGGTGGCTTTGAGCGGTGATGAGCTGGCACTGTCAACGGGGCTAACTGAGTCATCGAAGATGGTTTCGCGCAAAGTGTCGTCATCTGAGTGGGCGGTTGGGCTGAACACGCGCTCTTCAGCTAGCGCTGGCATGGGCAGTGATGGGCGTCGCCGGTCGTGACGCGAGCCAGACCTGTGGAGTTGGGGCTGGTACTGCATGTTTGGGGGCACGGACTGGCTTGTGTCGCGGCTGAGAGGCTCTGGTTGCACGGCGGTCACAGGTACATCCATCTCGGAGAAAGGCGTGCCGAATCGGTAAACCCCGCCTGGTGAAGCTGTCCTACAAGGTGAAAAGGCGCTGTCCGGTGCGAGGTATTGGTGTACCGGAGCACCGCTACGTGGGTTGCCGACAGGCTGGACAGACATTGCACGTGCCGGGGGAATGGTCAATTTGGGAAGGCTCTTGAGGTTCGAGTGAGGCGCCGGCATGAACTCTGGAGGGTGGAGAGCTGGTGTCGACGGCGTGTGTGCGAATGGCTCGAACGACCTAGTGGTATGTGCCGATGTAGATGCGGAGAAGGCCGAAACCGGCGGGCAGTACTGTTGCTGTGGTATCACCAAGAATGGACGGGGTGGGTATATCTCGGCTGGCGGGGTGGGAGGTGCCTCGATTGGAGTAGCGGTCTGGTAAGGTTGTTGCTGGCCCTGCAGAGTGAGGAATTGTCGCACATTGTCTTGCGGGTCGCGTTGCTCAAACTTTTGCAGATCTTGGAGGGAGAAGTCTGGTAGCTGGCCAGGACCTAGCACGTCGGACGATGCAACCACAGACGGGACCACAACCGACGGTGCAGATTCTGAGTTGGGGCGGTGGACGTTCTCGACAGCATGGCTTGCAGTTTGGGCGTTGCCGGGATCGCCAGCAATGAAGATGTGGCCACCCTTTTCGGGAGAGATGGGAAAGCCGTGTTCCTGCTGGAGTCTGGCGAGCTGTCTTTGTTGCTTCTTCCACTTGGAGCACCGTTCACCCTTTGCGCACACGTGAGGCTTGGGCAGTAGCTGTTCAATCGCGACAATCGAGACGGAGTGCGCAGGCGTGATGAGATCGTCTCCTAGATTGCGGCCGCGCGACTTGTCACGGCGACTGGCTTTCCGACCCTTGCTCTTTGATCTGTTTCTTGCCTCTTTGCAAGGGCGTTCGATGTCTTCAAACGGGGTTGGGATGGCGGCAGGCGCGGTTGGAGAGATGAGACCTTCTGCGGTGCGGAGCGAGTCGATCTGATTCCATAGCTGATGTCTTTTGCCAAAGGACTGGATCTCCAACTCTTTTAGATCATCAAACTGCATATCCAGGAGGACGGCGCCGGTGATGTCGTGTCCGATGAACTTGTCAATGATGTCGTCTTCAAATCCATTCTGGTACATCCAGGTAGCCACATCTTGAGAAGTCCAGGCACGCACTTCGGCATTGTCAAGGTGGGCTACGGCAAGGGCGATGTTGTTGTACTCTTTTTGAGGCACAATGGTTTCTGGAGTTGCTTCGCGGAATGCTGTTTGTTGGCGAAGTGGTGTTTGCTTTGGTAGCAGGGGAGACAGTTGCAGCGCATCATCGTATGGGAACTCATTCGAGGACTGCGAAGCACGAAACAGATGTGGACCCTTTGGGCCTTCTACTGGCTTTATTTCTGGCCAGAAAGCAAACTGTGGTCGGATGTCTTCTCCTGGGGTAGTCACTTCTTCAAAAGTTGATATTGTTGTTTGACTTCGTCGGTTGTCGCTCTGGAGGCTGTTAGCACCGACGCACAGACTCAGCGGAACACGGACACGCACAGAAGAGCCGCCGAACTCCTCGAATTCGCTTGAGTCGTCTTCAATGTCGGTATAGGCAACGCTGATGTGAGAAAGCGGACGCTCGAGCGAGGAGCGGGCCGTTAGAGCAGCGGAGAAGAGGGATGATGCTTTTCCCCTTTCAAACATTTCCATGCCCGGCTCTAGCGGGGTGATGGGTGTCATGGCCTGCTATGGGGGTGTTAGCATTGGGGTGGATGGAGGAGGCGAGTGCCGAGAGTAGCTTACCATGATCACGATGTGAGTGGGCGCACACAGGCTCAAGAGTAGGAGCTGCGAGTTTGCGAGAGAGGGCTAGGGGGTAATGGGATGGAGTGTGGCGAGCATGGCATACGCTGATACAAAGCAAAGCAAAGCACAGTAGGGCAGTGGCAGCACAAGATGATCGAAAACGGGAAACAGGACCCTTCGGGTGGAGAGCGCTTGCAAGTCTTTTGTAGAGAGTGCTTGGGCGCCGTTGGCGGTGGGGGGCGGGCGAGTTTGGCCCATATCACACAGCAGAGACTGCATGAGACAGCGTATGCCTGTCGACAGCGGCCACTGAGCGAGGTCGAGTCGTCGCCAGGCATAGTGGGCAGCAGACAGGCTGGCGCTTAGTGTAGACTGCTGCGAGGGCGGATGGGGCGCTGATTGGCCAGCCCGCAGATTGGGCCGCGGGCTAATAGTGCCGAAAAGGGACAGGCAAATGCCATTAATATCACCACCACCACGGCCGTCATCACGGCCACGGCCACACGCACACGCACACACGCACGCACCTACGCCCGGCCGGCCAAGTCAGGGTCGCCGCGGATCCACTCACAGCGAGGGCCGACGGCAGCGGATCGTGTCGCCGCCAGTCGCGCGCAGATGCAGCGAAGATCTGAGGTTGAGCCATGGCGTGCACGCATACTGTTGGCTGTCTGGCGTCCTGTGCGCAGCCTCAAGGTACGTACCTCGGACATGCTCTGGGCCACTGCCACTGCCACTGCCACTGCCAGCAACTGCCAGCACCACGCCCACCGCCTCACCTTGCCCGCCAGTGTGACGCTGGCCGCCAGCAAGCTACTACTACTATTACTACTACGTATCAAACTATGTGCACAGACAGGTCTATATGCGGCTGTGTAGTATACATTCACATGTAGACTCATACTTACATACATACATACATACATACATGTCCCTGTATGTACACTACTACCCAAGTACATACACATACCGCGCTTTTCTGACAAAGCACAATGTGACAACGGCCATCCATGTCATGATCGGTCGGTGGAGCTTCGGTTCGGACGGTTGACGTGTGTGAGCCGACAGCCTCATCAGCGCCATGCAGTAATGCGATATTGGCACAAACACATCACATGCGGCTGCGTTCCGTGCTTGAGCGGTTGCGTGCAGCCCGTGACGCCACAGAGCAGAGTCCAGGTCGACTCGACAAGCAGTCCTGTCGTCATAGTCGTCGTCTGGCCGGGCAAACTGTGGTGCTCGTCGGACCTACTACCTCGACTTTTGTCTGTCTTCTTGCCTGGGCGTCGCCGCTGCCGGCAGTCTGCTACCGTTGCCAGCCATGTGTCAGACCGCTGGTACTACCACACCCTCGTGACTGCGACTACCTACCCACCATGAAACCCTCTCCCACAGTGGCGGCCAACGGTCGCCCAGAGAAGCACCCACACGACGAGCCCGTGACTCCAAGACCCTGCGGCCAGCCGAGTCGCCATTCTCTGGTGTGCTCCGCTGCGACAATGGACTGGCGAAGCGTCGTTGTGACAAGGCGAATCAGCGTGGAGAAATGGGGTTCGAGCAAGGAGCCATGCAGACCGCAACTTGTGCAAATGCAAGCATTATCCCAAGCGTTTTCTCTACGAACCGCGCCAAGCAGAGAAAAAAGAAAAAAAGTTCCACCTCTGATAGTCGGGCAAAGGAACCTACTGGGAACGGCTTTGTGCAACGGCGCTCGTAATTTGGCCAGCTTGGCGGATCCCATGGTGATGACCGAAGGCGTGCCGCAGAGACGAGCGAGCAGAGGTTTGAGTCGTGTCTAGAGGGCGACCAAGCGTGCGATGACAATTAATGGGCACACTAGATGCCCAACAAGACGCAAACGAGACAGGCATCATTTACCAAAAACCAGGGACCAGCAAGTAGCGCCTTTGCAGCGGGAGAGAATGGCCTTTGAGCATCAGTTCCGCGCAGTCAGGTGAGTAAGGGCCTGGTCTGTCCGACTGCGACCGAGGACGTACCCGGTACTCGAGGGCCCATTCGTCGCCCGCCAAGTATTGATTGTAGCCCTCGGTAACCAATCACCGCCGCTTCCTGCACCTGCCCTCGCCTGCCTTCGCCATGCCACCCACTTTGGGCCGTTGCCCTAATTATGGGCAATTCCTCGACCCGGCTCAGCCTAATTAACGGCCTATTCATAGCACGCTCCCACACACACACTATACCACCACCACCACCGCTAGAGTACTACTGCTACCTACCACGACGACCACTACCTCGACTCCCCTGTCGTCCGCCCCAGCAGCCCAGCATGTCGCTGCATTGCCCCGCAGCGTAAGCTAGCATCCTCGGCCCCGTCATTGGCCCTCGTCGACCGCTAGCAAAAGCTTCTCTCGCAATTTCACCTCGAACAACATGCACAAGCGACTTGTTTTGCGTGGGAGCGCACGCTGACTGGATGCCGCCGCCCATCTTGTGCTATGCCACTCCGCTGCGTTACACCACTCCCTCGTCGTTGCCCGCGTAGCTCGGGAAAAAAACATCGCCAACCGACCTGCCGTGTTTGGCCAACACTGCCGTCTGCCTTTTTCGTCCGCCTAGCTTCTAGCTGGGCAGGTCCCGCGGTGGAAATGATCACAACAGCCTCAACTGCCAGCTCAGCTTGTCGACTGGCTGTGGCCAACGTGGCCATTGAGGGCCAGTGACTCCCTCCCTCGTCGCTTCGCTTGCACACGCACATACGCACATACGTACATACACGCATACACGCACGCACGCACGCACTCATGCTCCCCCGCTGGCACGAGGACAGCTACCAGCAGGTGCCGTGCTTGCTTGTACACAGACCGGGCGCATTGCATCCCGTGATCTGCGCATCTGCACAAGGCCACCAGTAACGTCCGGGCCGGCCACTTATCGCAGCCGCTGCAAGTGTTTTCCCTAGACGGCTCTGGAATGATGCCACTCGTCGATAGTGCCCCGCAGGGAGGTTGGGACAAGAAGAGACTAACGCACCCGACCCCCCTGGCTGCGAAAACTCTCACATCGACATGGGCGTATGCCTCTAAGGGCCGAGTCGCCCAAACGGGACAATTTACTTACCAGACTGGTTGCGGGGGCCAGTGAGCCGATCGATAGCCGTCGAGAGATGGACGCTATGGCCTGCAGCTGGCTCAAGCGCGGCGGGTAAGTAAGCCCCAAAATAGCTGGCAACACAAAATGCCCCCAAATGTCGACATCAGGCTGCATGGCCAGACTAGTCTGCCCAATCAGCGTGCCAGCGCCATGTGCTGTACCACGTTCGCAATTCCCTCCCGTTGGTCGCCCGCCCCTCGAGATAACTGCAAGTCCAAGAATAGATTCAGCAGTATTTGTGACCATTGTGCCGTTCCTGGCAGATATAAGGTACTTGTCGCTCACTAATAACCCTCCACGCAAATAGGTAGTCCGCATAATTTGGTTCCGCTCCTTCCTTCACATCAAGCCCGCTGGTCGAGCTTTGAATGCCCATCTTTAATTACGAGCAGCCCGGTCGAGCCCTGCCATCCTGTCCCTTACGAATCGTCCCGTCGTGCCTTAGTCGTTATTGCCGCATCGTTTAACTGGCTTGCCTCATATACCACCGCTCTGGGTACCTCGAGCGTCCATGTCCTCCTCGTCCGCTCCCACATCTACTACCAAACACTCCACAACCATGGTAGGCGCTACCACTGCTGCTGCTAACGCAGCAAAGCAAGCCGCTGCAAAAATGCACCGTCGCTCACGAACAGGTAACATATACCCTCTGCCTTTTGTTTTTTTTCCTATGCAGGGATCCCGCGCATGGACTTGAACAGGCTGGCTAACGGATCTTGTGCAGGGTGCTTCACATGCCGCCTGCGACGCAAGAAGTGCGACGAAGGAAAACCATCCTGTCGCGCCTGTAAACACCTTGGTCTCAAGTGTGAATATAAGAGGCCCATGTGGTGGAGCAACAACGAGCAGAGGCGCAGCCAGAAAGAACTCATCAAAAACATCATCAAGCGCACAAAGCTCAATGAGAAGACTGCACAGGGCGCTGCTATGGGCACAAACACTCCACCAAGCCTCTGCCACTCCATGCAGACTGCCGACACATTCTCAGACGGTGTCAGCTGCACAAGAGCGCCTTCTGTCGATTCGCAGAACTCGCTCGACTACAACTTCAACCCAGCCCCTACCACAATCGACTTCTACAACTCCACAATGCCTCCACCCAGCTTCCCCCCCAGCTTCGCCCACCCAGGACACTATGTCCCATACGACATTGACATCAAGACCGAGAGCCAGATGTTCATCAACGACATCCCAACTCGACGCGATTCTACCATCTCCTCCTACAGCCACTACCAAACACCTCCAGCATACCCCTCAGACAACTGGATTCAACAAGACTACTTTGAGCGCCGCGAATCGTTTACAGAGGAGCCCCTTGAGTTCCCCATCTTTGACTACAACACATATGGCACTTTCAGTCCATCACACCAGCCATCCATTCAAGTGGATGATTGCGACCGCCACCTGCTCAGCCACTTTTTGGAGAACATCATGCCCTCTGCCTTTCCTGTCCTGGAAACCAACCAACCTGGCGCAGCGCAGCGCGATGTCATCATCCCAGCACTCGAGACCAACAAGGCATATCTACACTGCTGCATGAGCATATCCGCACTACACATGAAGACCACTCAGGGGCTCACTGGAGAGCAGATTGACCTAGACATTCAGCGACACCGCGGCGAGACCGTCCAGCAGCTCACCGCTGCGCTCTACAGTGACAGCAACCACGGCCAGACCCTCGAGGCTGCGCTCGGCATGATCTTTTTCCAGTGCTCAGTCGGTCGATTCAACGACGGTCTGATGGACATCCCATGGCATGGCCACTTTGAAGCCGTCCAGAACCTTGTTCACAGGCTGGAGCTTCCTGCACAGATGATTGCACTGAACGGCCAGGCACACGCTCAGCCACCCTTCAACATGACACTGGCGTCCTGGATCGACATCCTCGGCGCTACGATGCTGGGCAGGACGCCATCATTCGCTGACACTTACCGGGAGAAGCTTATTGCAGATGCATCTTCCGGCCTTGCAGAACTCATGGGATGCGAAGACCGCATCATGTATCTCATTTCGGAAATCGCCTGCCTCGAAGCGCTCAAGAATGAGAACATGGATATCGTGCAGCTTTGCGCTCACATCAAGCTCCTTGGCGAGCAGATTAGCTTGACCGAGCCGCCCCAGGGTTCGCTCAACAGCGCCTACTCGTCTACTGGTGAGATTCTCCCACGGCAGCTTCGCCGCAACATGACTGCAGTGTACCGTCTAGCCGCCCGCATCTACCTTTGCAGCCTAGTGCCTGACTTTGACCGCACATCACCCACCTTTGTCAACCTGGTGAGTGCTCTCTGCAAGGCCATGGAGTATATCCCCGCTGGCCCTGACGGCTTTGACCGTTCTCTGATTTGGCCACTTTTGGTCGCTGGCTCCATCTCGGTGCCACAGTCTGGATTCCGCAAAATGTTTGCTGATCGCTCTGCCATGCTGGGCGAGGCGGCAAACTTTGGATCGTACGGAAGAGTCAAAAATCTTCTCCACGAAGTGTGGAAGGCCAACGACGACAACCTGGCAAAGGGCAACACACAGAGTGTTCACTGGCGGGACATGATGCGACAGAAGAACTGGGACTTTTTGCTCATCTGAGCGGTCGCTTCTTCTGCTGGTATGCATCCTGGTCTTGTGTGTGTGTCCCCCCTTTTTGCCAACTTACATTCTCTTCTCGTCCGGGCCCTGGCTCTTCTTGCAGCAACTTTTACCAAAGCGATTTGCTTGTTTCTTTGCATATATTTTATTCTACACGATACCCACTTTTGTAATTTTGGATACCAATGGCTCTAAGGAGCAAAGGCAGCATTCACACGGCGCAGTAGCATCGACTGGATGTCGTTAGGAGGAAAGGGTGTTTCTATTTTTTTTTCAACTATTAACGAGATCACGGCTGGATTCGGTGTGGTCTGGTTGCCTCCCCGAGAAACCGTACATGGAAAGGGGGGAACGGAGAAGGGAAGGGGGTGAGGGAGGGTGAGGAAGAGAACATGGAGGGGCCAAAGGCTGCGTGGGGGAAGCTAGCGCAGCACCCCAGCGGCCGGCGCATGTATATGTAGGTAGATACATGGATAGTAGTGTAGCAACGGGGCTCTAGAGTGAGGCCCATAGGAGAGGAAATGAAGTTGAAACGAGCGATACGCTCAGGCAGCGCCGTGCCTCAATGATGCATATGCACACGTGATTGGCTGACAAGAGTAGCACGCAGCTCTCCGCATGTGGCGCGGCAGTCGCTGGTTCCCGTGGCTAGGAGCCGTGGAGAAGTGGCCGGCGTCGACGTCTAAAATTAGTGTACGAACATCGGCCGGACTGCGAAGCTGCAGGCTAACGCGTACGGCCAGCATCAGACAGTCAGCGAGACATCGCCAGACTGCCATCCCAGCCAGAGCAAGGTCGTGGCGGGTGTGTCTAGCCTGCCGTCGACTGTGTGTTGCATTGCCCTCGACGTCGAACACGGGCCTTTGGATGATTGTCATTTTGCCGTCGCCGTTATTACCACCTAGACCCGTATACCACCCCCACCCACTTGTATACACGCCGGTAGACGCATCGTCCCGCACGTAACTATCGCGCTCCACGACATCTACACTCGACCTGTTCCCAATGGCGTCTCCGGCCACGGTTCCGTTTACTTCCGTCGACACCACCACGCGACAGCTGACCAAGGACGAGGTTGAGTCGCCGAGCATCTCCAGCGCAAATGCGCTTGCCCGCTACGAGTACGAGGCGGGCCACGCAAATGCCACCACGGGCACCAAGATCCTAATGGTCGAGTGGGAGGACGACGACACAACGCGGGGAGTGCGGGGAGACTGGCACATCTCATGGGATGGCAGCACACGGGTCCTGCCCGCCAACGACCAGTCGGCCAACGACGTGCATCGCATGTACTTTCTGCTACCCCCGGGCGTCGCGGTACCCACCAGTGTTACACTCACGCTACGACCGCAAGACGGTACCAGGGCTCCTGTTGTCTGGCATACAAATCCCCTTCCGGCATTGTTTCCGCCAGAGCTAGGGGCGTCGGCGCGGGCAGCGGGCAAGAAGGGTGTCCTGCACACCATTTGGGCAAAGAAAAGGCTGCAGGTGCTACAGAAGGAGATTGAAGCAGAGTCACGTACAAACGTCGAGGGCGTCGGCCTGCTCATGGCCGTGCAAGAGAAGGAATGGATTGAGTCAACATTCGGAGTCAATGCCAAACCCGCAGGCCTAAGTATCTCACTTGGCGAGCCCGTGCTGGCACCGATGAAGGCGCCCTCTAGCCCACGGTCTCCTGGCGGGGGCCGCCTCATGGACAAGCTGGCAGGACTGCGACTAGGCACGAGTGAAAAGGACCTCTCACCCAGCAATAGCACGCCGGGCTTCTCCAACCCCCTATCGCCCGAATCTTCAGACATTGCCATTAGTTCTTTTGCGGTCTTCAAGGGCGCAAATCCAGCTAGCCTTGCGGCAAAGCCACCGCAACCACCTCAGGTTCAGCCAATAGATCCACCTCGGAGAATCGCAGCACAGGCACCTCCACAGTTTATCACAGAACAGCAGAGTGCTGGCATGGGCTCGTTAAACGCCTTGTCTGGCCCAGCGCCCATTTTTCAATCTCGAGGTCCACTGGGGTCTGCAGACGACGACGATAAGGACGATGGACTCTTCGCGTTGCCTATCAGCCCACGGAGCCCGGAAGTAGGCAAGAGTCCCTTCTCGTTTTCAGCCAGTGACACGGCACCTTTTTTGAAAGAAGAGAGTGCTGCGTGAGCACATGGATGGATTCTACTGTTGTGCCGGAGTCTTGGGGTCTGGAATTCTGTCTTGAATGGAGAGGCACCCGTAGCCCTCTTGTTTGGCGTGATACCTTGGCGGCCTTGTTGGCTATTTTGTAAGATCCTAGATAGGTGAATACACGATGAATAAAATCCATAGTTGCAGCCGCGTTGCCCTCTTGCTATTGGTTGCCCACCAGGCTGCCGTTTGGTTTGGGCAAACGCTAGGCTTGGCGCCTGCAAGCTTCGGCGCTGACGAAAGTGGATTCGCCGACGCGAACTCGAGCGCGGCTTCTACGGTACGACTGTCGCAAACCTCTCGCAAACCTCTCGACAACCACACACGAACCTCTCGCCGCCGTCGTCGTCGTCGCCGCATCACCACCACGCTGTTGCACGCAGTCGCATAAATACCACAACTAACTCGTACACACAGTCTTCTGCACGGAGCCCGAGACGCGCCATCATGTTGGCCACTGGGCGCGGCAGCATTGCCCAGGTGCACTACACCGGGGAAGAGGCTGCAGGTGAAATCAACAAGCTCCTCAGCGCTGTGGTGAGTGTCCCATTGCCTCGCTACAGACCTTGGCTAATAGCACATATAGGTGGAGAGTGAAGATGATTTCGACAAATGGGAAGCACTCGTCACTCGCGCCTCCGAGCTTGAAGGCGGCGTCACCCGCAACTCCAGTCCCTCGACCATCGAGCTTGTCCGCAACGTCTACGATTGCTTTCTTACCAAGTTTCCGCTGTTCTTCGGTTACTGGAAGAAGTATGCCGACCTCGAGTTCTCGATTGGCGGTACAGAAACTGCCGAGATGGTATATGAGCGTGGTGTCTCGTGCATCACTACTTCAGTAGACTTGTGGGCCAACTACTGCAGCTTCAAGATGGATACGTCGCACGACAACGACATTATCCGAGAGTGAGTCCTGTCTTTGCCCCGCTTCCCTCCTCCCGATTCCGAGGCTCAAATCGCCGTAGCCAGCGGTGGGCTCGGGCGCGCTCGGGCGCTACATGTTTACATGTCCCATCATCCCGTTGCCCTCCCCTCTCCACCCCGTTCACACTCTGCCCCCGCGAAAGAGTTGCCCAAGACCCTGGAAGGACGAAGTTCGATAGCCTTACCATCCTTTTGTTGGCACACTAAGTTACTTTTCAAGATCGTCCCCTTTCATTCTCTCCTCGTCGTACTCTCCTTATTCAGATCTTTCAATGCTAACTCAGCAGGCTATTCGAGCGAGGTGCTCACTTTGTCGGTCTGGATTTCCAGAGCCACCCATTCTGGGACAAGTATATCGAATTCGAGGAGCGTATCCAAGAGCCAGCCAATGTTACCAAAATCTACAGCCGTGTTTTGCACATACCCATCTACCAGTTTTCTCGGTACTATGAGAAATTCTCCGTCCTTCTCTCCAACCGTCCAGTAGAAGAGTTGGCCAGTCCCGGAACACTCGAAAAGCTGAAAGCCGCGGTTCAGCTCGAGAATCAGGGACAACCTGACAAGCCAGCGCTTGAGATTGAGCGGCAGCTGCGCGCCAAGATAACTGAATGGTACTACGGCTCGTACTCAAAGACACAGCAGGATGTTACCAACCGCTGGACCTATGAGCATGCCATCAAGAGGGCCTACTTCCACGTCACCGAGCTCGAAGAGTCCGAGCTTGAGAATTGGCGCAAGTATCTAGATTACGAAGAGAAGCAGGGTGACTTTGAGCGTATCGCGTTCCTGTATGAGCGCTGCTTGGTCGCATGTGCTTTGTACGACGAATTCTGGCTGCGATATGCCCGCTGGATGTTTGCCCAGGGCAAAGAGGAGAATGCAAGGATCATCTACATGCGAGCCAGCTGTATTTTTGTGCCCATCTCAGCCCCCGCCATACGCCTCAACTGGGCTCGTTTCGAAGAGAAACTCGGTCGAACATCTGTCGCTCGTGATATCTACCTGGCTATGCTCGAGGAGGCACCAGAGCACACCGAGACTCTCATCTCCCTTGCAGGTCTAGAGCGACGGCACGAAGGCAATGACGCGGCTGTCCGCCTTCTAGAGCAGTACATTGACCGTTCCAATAACCAGATTGGCGGCATACTCGCAGCTGAGCAAGCACGTATTCTCTGGCAGTGCAAGAGCAGCATCAGCGAAGCTCGTCAAGTCTTCAAGGACAAGCATGAGCGATTCCTAGACTCGCGTGAGTTCTGGATGAAGTACTTGGAATTCGAAATTGCACAGCCTTCTCCCAGCCAAGAAGCGGCGCATGCTCGGATCAAGGCGGCTCACGAGCTGATGCGCACCAAAGGTCGCTTCTCTGCTGAGACATCGAAAGAGTTGTCACACTATTACATGGCCTATCTCCTGAATCGGGGCGGCAAGAATGCAGTCGAAGAGTACATGCAGCTGGATAAAGAAGTAAACGGGTATGTATCATCTGTTCAAAGAGCCCACTCCCAAACTCCTGCCCATTAGAAACGAACAGACGAGCCTCACATTGCAGCAAGCAAACGCCAGCGCAAATAGACTTGCGCTAGGCATCGTCCGCAGAGCCACGTTACGTCAAGCTTCAGTTTGGAGGCTTTCTATTGTCTTACCCTAGCATCCCCTGTCCCTTTTTTTGACTAGTTTTTACCGTATACCGTCTTTTTTTTTGCATTTGCATGACTGCCAGCCAAACGTAATGCACCAACTTCTTATTATTTCATTGTGCTTGCTAACATTTGGCGTTTGATACAGTGCGAAACAGATCGAGGAGCCCTCCACCGCTCTCCCCCTTACGCCAGCAAAACCTAATCACCGAAGTCGTTTCTAGGTGTGCGACGGGATTTTGGTATGTATTGATGTCTTGTATTTGTTTCGGATTGTTACTGACTATGTTTACGCAGATGAGGTGTGCTTTCCCCTACGCCCTGCCCATGAGAGTTAATAGACCCAGCCGCTTCGCCCGAAGGTAACTCTTGATCAGTTGCGTCCGACGATAGCGAGGCCTCCCATGATCCATGGCATGGCTTACGATTGAAGGCAGTCATCTTTGCTTCGTCTCTGCAGACGGGTGATCGACTGAGCTGATAGGTACAGCAGCTCTTGTACTTGGGTCGATCCCTGTTCTGGTTTGTTTTGCAGTGTACATTCTCGGCGTTTTCTTTGGCGTGATCCGACATGATGGATACACGTTTGACGGGGCTTACAAAAAGCGTTATTCCCTTTTTTCTTCTCGCCTCCCACTTTGTAGTCTCTTGTCCAAAGTAGATGATGGGCTACTCTAATAGAGAGAAGCACGAGTGCAATATACGCACCAGATGAAACACAACGCAGTTGTTCATACGATTCTAAGCAGTGTTTTGCATACGTGAAGTTTGGTTATGAAGTAGTAGTAATGAGTTTACTTTGACTCGTATAGTTCATTGAGGTTAAGCGCGGTATCTATGTACATGGGGAATCGTTCATCCCAAAGACTCCTTAACCTATCCAACAGCTCCATCATTGGCATCAATATCAAACATGACTTTTTTGTTTCATCTAAACGGCAAAACCACCACTATTCTTCTGCCTAGGCTCACTCGCCGCCTCAAACGTGCCATTCGGCAACAACCTCAGACCCTGCGCACTACTGCTGCCAGGCGCCATCCACGTCACATTAGCGCCAATCTGCTGCAGATACGCCGTGGTAGCATTATCAAACGCATACTCGAAGCTCACCTGGGCCGGCACAAGTTGGTCGTGGAACCTGGGTTGTGCCAGCGCCTCGGCCGTCGTCATATTACCACTAAGCATGTGAATGATATTCTGGATTGTGGCAGTGATGATACGCGAACCGCCCGCCGCACCGATGGCGATGTAGAAAGCGTTTGTTACGTTTGCGAGGTTGAGGTGCTCGACTATGACTGGTGCGATGGAGGATAAAGGGCGTTTTCCGGGGCGAATAAAGTTTGCGGGGCTGGGGATGTAGCCAAAGGCGTTTGTGGTGTTTGGGATGCTGAAGTCGTTCATTTCGTTGTTCATGATGACGCCGGTTTCCGGGACCATGAGTTTGCTGCCGAAGAGGAGGTTGACGGTTGTGGTGAGGGAGATTGCGAGGCCGCTTGCGTCGGCAGCGACGACGTGGCTTGTTCCGGGTGTTTCGAGGGATTCGAGGCCAGATGGGTTGTAGTAGGCTACCGGGAAGGTTTTGTCGTCGATGATCTTGCTGCGGACTTCGGCGGCTGTGGCGTTGGAGAGCATTTGCTGCTGGAATGTGTCTAGGCCTTTGACGAAGGATGGGTCGCCGAGCTCTGAGCGCATGCCGTAGGCGAAGCGCATACTTTCGTCGAGACGGTGCGTGGTTAGGTTTGCGTTGAGGGGGTCGCCAACGCCCGAGTAGCCTTCCATGAATTTGAGGGCGGCGAGGGCGACGTTGCCGCCTGAGGGTGCGCTGCAGGCCGTGAGTTTGTAGTTTCCGTAGGTGATGGCCGAGGGCTTGCGGATGGCCACGGTGTAGTTTGCTAGGTCTTCGAGCGTCATGGTGCCATTGGAGGCTTGGAGAGCGCGGATCGTGGCTTCTGCCAACGGTCCTTTGTAGAATGCGTCAGGGCCCTGCTCTGCAATGATTGAGAGCGTTTTGGCATAGCGCTTTCGCGTGATGGTCTCGTTGAGCTGGAGAAGACGGCCTTTGGGAGCAAAATCAATCGCAAACTCCTTGTCGTTAACGAAGAAGTTGTCCTTTCCGTTGTTTGAAGCAGAAGCCATGTACCGAACAAGATCTTCATTGACCTTCCAGCCTTTTTCAGCGACCTTGACGGCTGGCTTGATGACGGTTTTCCATGGGAGGCGGCCGTACTTTTCATGAAGATACTGCAGCCCACGAAGTTCACCTGGAACGCCAGATGCAAGACCGCCCCTCTCACTAGCTATCTCATTGTTCTTGTACATGTCCTCGAAGGCAGCGGCTGGAGCTGTCTCGCGGAAGTCAATAAACTCATATGTGCCGTTTGGTGAACGGACAAGCATAAAGCCTCCCCCAGCAATTCCTACTATCTGTTAGTAACTCTTATAGGAAGCACTTTGGGAGGTGGAATTACCAGAGTGGTACATGGCCACAACGCCTACGCATGCCACGGTACCGACCATGGCGTCTGCCGCATTGCCGCCCGCCTTCAACAGGTCGGTTCCGATGCGGCTGCAAATCGCGGTAGATGAAGCTACAGCACCAAGCCGCGGCTCATGAGTTCGGAACCCGTAAGGGTCCTCCTCTTTGTAAAAGGAAACATGCCTTTTGACTGGAGTAGCCAATGCGCTCTGCAGCATCAAAAGCCCAATCAAGGGCTTGACAAGCAAAGATGGCGCCATACTGCAGACAGCACGATGCTGTTACCAAACGGACGGGGGAGAAAGAAGCCTGTGAGGTCGGCGTGATGATGGCATGCGAGGAGTCGTCAGTACCTCTTTATAGCACACATGCCGACAGCGGAGGATGCTGGCCCCTACCACAGATAGCCAAGGCAGTTACTGAAAGTGCTTAGCGCCAGCTACGCAAAGCGGAAGCTGGCATGAGAAGTTTACGGGGTTCTAGGCATTACTACGGACATGGTGAAGAAAATTCTGATGATAGTGCTGAAGGGTGAAGAGATAGGATCTTAAAGCCGGGCCGTCTGCGGTACTTGGAGGCTTAGACACTGGTCGTGATCTGGGCGAAAAATAACGCAAGAAGTGTTGAGGGAGGACCATTGAAGAAGATCGTGAACCGAACTAGAGCGATATGGTTCTGCGGTGATGACAGTCATATATCATGGGTCCCCTCGCTGCTTATCAGGTAATCATAGAAGCCTCTTTTTTTTTCCACAAGTCAATCTGTCAAACTCTGTCTTAAGGTTCGACAGCCTACGTCCAAAGGCTGCATAACGCATGTAAAGAGCAGGAGCGGCCAAGACAAAAGGGTCCTGGAGAAATAGCCCGACGATTCAGTCGTTGCCCATTATCCGGCGTCCTTATCTCTGTGTGGGGTACAAGGCCCAAGCACAAGCACGGTTAAAAACCCCAGAAACGTGACACCGTGATGTAACCAGGTCGCAAGGCGCGAGTCGCCATGCTCGTTACGCGTCGCCGGCTTTCTCCACCTGCACACCGACCATCTGCTTCCTACAACCCACAAACGGTCCAATGGCGCCGAAAAGCAGTCAATCGTCCCAGAAGAGCACCCAGCCGACAATATCGAGCTTCTTCACGCGCAAGCCAGCGCAACCCCCCAAAGCCGCTGCTACTGCCACTCCTGCCGCTCCCGCTCCCGCTGCCACTCCCGCATCTCCACCAAGAACAAAGTCTCCGCCTGCCACAAACGGCACGACCCAGAAGGACGATAGTGACGATGACGAAGAAGATGGTCTTCCAATAAAGACACCTCTTACCCTCCGTAAGCGCGCAGTACATGACGATGATAAACCCCAAGACTCAGGTCGGTCCTCGCCTTCCAAACGCGTTCGCTTTACCAAAAACGTCTCTGCGCAACAATCACCTACGCACACATCCGCCACTACCTCGGGTATATCGAAGCCCCCCAAGATCACCGATAGAACCTCCAAGTTTCTGTTCTCCTCATCACCGGCGATTCAAGACGAGAACAAATCAGACAACGATGACGATGGCGACGAGGAAGATGCTGCCGCTGCCCAGAAGCAAAAGGAGAGACTACATGAGAAGTTTGTAAAGAAGCTGGGTCGTCCTGATAGCTTTGCCGAACTGCGAAGGCGGAACAAGATCATCTCTGAGGACAATGTCAACGAGGAAGAAGGCGAGGGCGACGAAGATGACGAAGAAGAGCCCCCACCAAAGCCTGTGAAAGGCAAAAAGGCCGTCGCCACGAAAAAGGCCAGCAAGTTGACGCCTATGGAAATCCAATATCTCGATATCAAGCGCAAGCATCTGGACACTATCATCGTCATGGAGGTCGGATACAAGTACAAGTTCTTTGGTGAAGACGCAAGAATCGCATCCAAGGAGCTAGGCATCGTCTGCATACCAGGAAAGTTTCGCTACGACGAGCATCCTTCTGAGGCACACCTGGATAAATTTGCGTCTGCGAGTTTCCCTACTCATCGCCTGCAAGTCCACGTCAAACGTCTTGTACAAGCGAACCACAAAGTGGGTGTGGTGCGCCAGGTCGAAACTGCAGCGCTCAAGGCGGCTGGCAACAACAGGAACGCACCATTTGTCCGAAAACTCACAAATCTCTACACCAAAGGCACATATGTGGATGATGTAGAAGGCCTGGAAACACCAACTGAAGGCTCAGGTGCCAGTGCACAGTCGACTGGATATCTGCTTTGCATCACTGAGAGCAATGCCAAGGGTTGGGGTACAGACGAGAAGGTCCAGGTCGGACTGGTGGCCGTACAACCGGCAACAGGCGATATCATCTACGACGACTTTGAGGACGGCTTCATGCGTAGCGAGATCGAGACGCGCTTGCTCCACATTGCGCCAGCTGAATTTCTGGTGGTTGGCGATCTGTCCAAGGCTACCAACAAGCTGATAGAGCACCTCTCAGCCAGCAAGACCAACGTATTTGGAGATAGGTCACGAGTGGAGAGGGTTGAGAAGCCCAAGACAATGGCTGCACAAGCATACAGTCACATCTCGAACTTCTATGCAGGCAAAATGAAGTCCAGTACAGATGCTGATTCGGCAAAACAAGGTGCGGTCCTAGACAAGGTGCATCAACTATCAGAGCATGTTACTATATGTCTGTCTGCCATGATCACATACCTCAGCGAGTACGGACTGGAACATGTCTTCGACCTTACCAAGTACTTTCAACCCTTCAGCGCACGATCATACATGCTGCTCAACGGAAACACATTGTCCAGTCTGGAGATCTACCAAAACCAGACAGACTTCACGTCAAAAGGCAGTTTGTTCTGGACCATGAATCGAACAAAGACTCGCTTCGGACAACGGCTGCTCAGGAAGTGGGTTGGTCGACCATTGATTGATAAAGTCAAGCTGGAAGAGCGTATTGCAGCTGTTGAGGAGCTCAAGGAAGGCGAGCACACCATACCGGTGGACAAGTTGAAGTTTGTATTGGGAAAAATCAAAACCGATCTCGAAAAAGTTCTCATACGAATATACTACAAGAAATGTACAAGGCCTGAGCTGTTATCGGCTCTGCAGGCGCTTCAAGAAATATCAAGCCAATACTTGTCTGCTCAGACGCCTGAGCAAAGTGGCTTCTCGTCAACACTGTTGAGTGAAGCTGTCTCAAACGTTCCAAAAATATACGAGGACTTGAATGGCTTCCTTGACAAGATCAACGCGAGTGCCGCCAAAGATGACGACAAGTATTCATTCTTTCGAGAGGAGCATGAGGCGGAGGACATCAACGATCTGAAGCTCAGCATTGCGTCAGTAGAAGATGACCTCAACACACACCGCAAAGAGGCAGCAGCAAAGCTTGGGAAGAGTAAGGTGGACTATGTCACCGTTGCGGGCATTGAGTATCTGATTGAAGTCAAGAGGAAATCACCCGAGGAGAAGAAAGTCCCTGCATCATGGCAGCAAATATCAGCCACCAAGGCTATTCTTCGCTTCCACACTCCAGAAGTTAAGCGTATGCTCCAAGAGCGGGATCAGTACAAAGAGTCACTTGCCGCCGCGTGCGACCGAGCTTACATGCGTCTATTGGAGGAAATCTCATCCAAGTACCAGCAATTGCGAGACTGCATAGCTTCTTTGGCTACGCTTGACGCTCTTCTGTCTCTCGCTACCCTAGCAAACCAGCCAGGCTATGTAAAGCCCACCTTCACAGACGACATTCAAATCAACATCACCGGCGGTCGACATCCAATGGTCGAACAGCTACTTCTCGATAGCTACGTGCCAAATGATCTCTCATTATCGCACGACTCTACCCGTGCCCTTCTCGTAACAGGTCCAAACATGGGCGGAAAATCCTCTTTCGTACGCTCTGCCGCTTTAATCGCCATCATGGGACAAATCGGGTCTTATGTGCCAGCCAGCGCGGCACGTCTAGGAATGCTAGACGCAGTGTTCACTCGCATGGGCGCATTCGACAACATGCTCAAAGGTGAGTCGACATTCATGGTCGAACTCAACGAAACATCCGACATCCTCAAATCCGCAACCCCACGCTCTCTGGTTATCCTCGACGAGCTTGGTCGCGGCACTTCGACTTTCGACGGTGTTGCCATAGCGGAAGCAGTGCTCGACTACGTCATTCGTGACTTGCAGTCCCTAACGCTATTCATCACGCACTACCAGCACCTCGCCAAGGTTCCGTCGCGATTTCCTGATAGCCAACTGAAGAATGTGCATATGCGGTTTGAAGAACAGAATGGCGGGAGGGAAGTGGTGTTTTTGTACGAAGCAACAGAAGGTATTAGTCATCGGTCATATGGGCTTAATGTTGCTCGGTTGGCGAGAGTACCCGACAAGGTTCTTGATGTTGCGGAGGTGAAGAGCGCAGAGTTGGAGCAGAGCATGGAGGCTCACAAGCTGGCGAATCTGTAAGTGCAAGATGATGATACGATGGGGAGAAAGGAGAACTAACGATGAATAGATCGCGCATGATGAAGGGGCTGCTGAACGACGACTCGGAAGCAATGCTTGACAAGCTTGTCGAGGGCATTGGGCAGCTGTAAAGCGAATTTGGAAATGTATGATAGTAGTGGAGGGCTCTGTGTTTGGCGCACCAAGATGAATCGTCATATAATGCAGTATCGGTAGATCATAGGTGTTTAGTAATAGAAAGACACTACTTGCGGCATCAATCGCATGAAAATCGAACAACATCAAACATCAGCGTAGACAGTTGATACAGATCATCGTTATTTCATTTCATGACTATCATAACAGTATCATCATTCCCCAAGGTCGTAGCACCCAGCGCCCGCAACCTTTTCTTCATTACGACGAGCTTATTTGTCCTTGAAGGGCATGTCCTTGCCGGTAGCACCCTTATACTGTCCGCGGATAAAGTCGCTAATCTGCTCGTCCTTTGCTTGCTCGAGCGCAGACTCGTTGTCCTGAGGACCCTGACCGAGGAACTTTTCCTGGACAAGGTCGACACCTATACATGTATCTGTTAGTACTCATGCCCACACTATCCTTTTACAGAAAGATAAGATGAAGGGGAAGGGGAAGGGAGAGGCAGTAGCAAAAGACCAACAACGTACCCTTGTCAAGGTAATCCTCGTTCTTCTCGCTGGCCTTGCCGCCGCCAGCAGCCTCGTTGAGCTTGTTGCCAATGCCGCCGAGGAAGCCGCCTGAGCCTGATGATTGCTGTCCTGCGTTCTGGTCCTTGACGACCTGCTCGTTTACGGACTGGCCCTGTCCCTGGCTCTGGCCGCCGGCGAGTTTGTTGACGAAGTCCATGATGAAATTGATGTGTTCTTTCTGGAAAGAAGACTAAGGGTTTGATGCGAGGTAGGTAGGTAGTAGAGGATTGATTAGAGGGAAAAAGCTTGTTTAGTTGTTGAGTGTGGGGGAGAGAGAGAGAGAGATAGAGAGAAGAAGAATGATATGCGAAGGGAGAGAGACGCATTTATACAAAAGGTGTTGGAACCAACCTAAGAAGGGGGGGTGGGACGGGCTGCGGGCTGCGGGAAGGAAGCAAGCACAAGCTACCAAAGCAACAACAACGGAGCGGGGTGGGGTAAAGAAAACCAAGATCTAAGCCCCCATCATCGATGGACAAGAATTCCAAGAAGTTGCATCATTCTCCGACTACTAGCAGCTGAAAGCGAGCAAAAAAACAATGGTTTGATAGGCTCGTTCGTCAATCTGGTCTACCGCTCTTTGTACCTTGATGTGTAGCGGTGACTTTGCCCCGTTGCGATTAGCACTGCCCCGCGCGGGCTGCATGGTCGACGTCATTCCTAAGGACCCCGCGCCAGAGCTGCAAACTAGCACGTTTTTTATCGTCGCTAAAGAGTTCGGGGTGGGGGCGATGTGAGTGTTGTGCGTGTGTGTTTGACACGTGCGGGGCGGGAGGAAGCCTTTTCGAATCGGATTTCATCATTTTCCAGTCTTTACTTTTTTTGTGTGTGTCTCTTTTCTAGGCGCGCGGACGAGGCTTGGATCTAGAGCGTCATTGTTTGGCCGGTTGAAACTTGTTTCCTTCTCTACGTACTACTACAACGTAACCGCTGCTGGCTCAAGCTTTTTCTTGGGGGAGCTTTGACGTGATGATACCGATTACCATCATCACGGGGTTTCTGGGCTCGGGAAAGACGAGTATGTTGCACCTCACTTTACTTACTATCCTTGCTTATCAGTCTTTCTTTTACCCTGCAATCTCGCAGATGTTGAATACATGTGCGCATGTTTCTTGGTTTCATCCTGCTAACACCACGTAGCCCTCATCTTAAACCTTATCCCCCAGCTGCCCCCGTCGTACAAGTTCGCGCTCCTCAAGAATGAGTATGGCGATGTCAAGGTAGACACTGCACTCGCGTCATCTGCAGCCATTTCTGGCGTGCAAGAGCTGCTTAACGGCTGTATATGCTGCAACCTCGTAGGCCAATTGTCGGATGCGCTCGAAACGCTCGCCCGCGATGTAGAACCCGATCGCATTGTAATCGAGACTTCAGGGTCTGCCTTCCCGGCCACGCTAGCCATGGAGGTCAACCGGCTGAGCCGCGAGACGGGCAAATATGTGCTCGACGGCGTAATGAGTGTCATTGATGTAGAGAATTGGAAGGGATACGAAGACACGAGTATTACGGCGAAAATGCAGGCGCGGTACACCGATCTCATCGTGCTGAACAAGCACGAGTTGGTTAGCGAGAGACGGTTGGAAGATGTGGAAGACGCCATTCTGGCGCTCGAGGTGGAGCCACAGATTCCTAGGACTAAGAGTCGCAAGGGCTGGGTGGACAAGGATATCGTCTTTGGCTTGGATGCGCGGCTTGCAGGCGTTACGGAGGAAACAAAGGATGGAGCGCATACGCATGAGCACGACCACGGGCATTCGAGTGAGGTAGAGGTTCTGACTGTGACGCTCAAGAGCGAGGACAGGGCAGGGAGCGTGGATACGTCAAAGTTGGCAAAGTTCCTGCAAGATCCGACAAAGGACGAAGTATACCGGATAAAGGGTATTCTTTATGCTTCTACACCACCCAAGTCTTCCGACACTACACCCGCATCCACTCAGCAAATACCAGAAGGAAGAGCGAGATATATTCTGAACTGGGCGTTTGGCCGTTGGACATTTACACCTGTAGCCTTGCCAGCAGGCGAGGAATCGAAAGAGGAGCCAGTGCTTAGGCTTACTGTGATTACGGCGAGGTACGAGTCTACAAAGTGGAAGAAGGAGATTGAGTCAAGCGGGCTTGTGGCGCTGGAAGGCGAGGCGCCAGGGACATTGACAGTGGAGAAGATAGCATAGATGGCGCTGTCTATGTGTAGATACCCCTTCACATCAAGAATTAGACGATTTAGATTTGCGAAAATAGATACACCTCAGTTTGTTCGAGTCTGATACTGTAGCAATTCTTTCACAACTGAGCATTATGGTCCAGGGTCTGTATAGATTTAACGGTGTGCCAAAGGGAGCACCCGATATTGATTGAGATTTCTGTAATATCAGCTTTCCTGCTGTAATTGCTCAACACAACTTCTCAACAAGCGCATCAGTGTCATCTGTATGCTCCGGCCCGCGGGCGTGCCCGCATGTTTGCCAGCGCCCCATCCAAACGGCAGCACCAGCCTCCTCTTTGCATTTTTATCCAGGACAACGAGCGCATCTAATGGGAACTTTCCTCCGCCCAGAGGATGCAAGAGACCCAGCCGGACAAAGTGGTTGTTGGATGTGGTAGCAGCCTGTACCAACGGGAGCGAAAAGGGGGCAGATGGAGAGAGGCGATGTGTAGAAGGGTCATGGCAGAGAACAAGGGCTTGGAGCGAGGGCGAGAGTTTGTATAGGTCTGGCAAGGCCGAGCTATGGCATGTCAATTGTGATTTTTTTCCTGGGATTTGGAACGCAGCGTACCATAAGAGCTCATAGTGTATCTGAACATTACCTTGCACGCACAGCACTGTTATTGACTGGCCTCGTTGATATCTGGCCCAGTTATTATGCGCCTGTAGCTTACTATCCGGTGGCGCCGCGAGCACATTGCTGGCTAGTATGGCGTCTACATCGACTGTCCACGCATCTTCCGGGCGTACGATTTCCAGCTCTTCCAGCTCGCACTGTGTCTTTGATTTCTTCAGAGTGTCTCCAAACGGAGATGGCGCAGGCGACGGCTCCCTTTTTGGTGGCAGATCCTCGTCATCATCGAGGGCCAGGCGCGAGCGTTTGCGGCTCAGTGCCACGTCCATGGTCCAGCTATGTTGCGTTAGCAAGTCAGCCATTTACGCTGTCGCACCACTTTTTGTCGCGGTGATACAGGGAAGATAGAAAGGGCATGGCTGGAACCGCCAGCGTACATTGATTTACATAACGTGCTGGAGGATTTGCGGTTGTCACAGAGACGACGCGTGGGCAGGAGACTCAGGGGAAGGGTGCGAGGGCTTACTAGGCTGCCCGAGCTTCTGCTTCCCTGCATGGTTGCTGACTTTTACCCCGCCATAGTCGTGACTGCCTTTTGGGGGCTACCCCACTATCGCTCGTGTGTGTGTGTGCCTAGACTCTCTCAGCAGGCGGGCTTGTAACGTGCATCTTAGATGCATTCGCTTCCATGGCTTCCAAAGACGTCACAAGCAGACTGCGACAAAGCACCTGGAACGGGAGCATCCCCCTCGAGATACGGCTGCACAAGGGCGACTGCAGGACGTACGATGAGTCGGATCCTTACATAGTACGTGGAAAGCAGCATGTTGCTGTTGGATGAGGTGTTGTATGTGGGCTGGGAGCTGTGTGTGTTGACGAGCTTGCTAGATACAATTCCCACGGATCTCATACCTTGGCCTGTTGATCCACAAGCTGCATACCTTCTTCTCGCGCAGCCTCATCTACCCGGATGTCAGCCCCAAAGACGCGTGGCTCTCTTACGAAGATGTTCCGTTGAAGTGGCATTATCCCCTTGGCCTTCTATATGACCTCTACTCTGGAGCTGAGCCTGCATATCCCCCAGACGCAGACGTAGACGCCGCACCAGCACACCAGGTTGAAGGCGGCGAAGAGGAACACGGTCGGCTTCCATGGCGTCTCACGGTTCACTTTTCAGACTATCCGACGGAGCAGCTGGTGCAACTCGACAATGACGGCAAGCACCTCAACGACATGTTCATTCAGAGCGTCAAGGAGGCAGACTACCTGAGGACGGGCACGGGGAAGACGGTCATGTTTCTGAGTAAGGAGGACAGCACGCAGCTGTGGGAGGGAGTTAAGAAGCACGAGTTTGCGCTATATAACCCCATCAACCAAAAACTACTCAACCCGCAGGGAGTCAGTCTGAGACATTTACCGGTCAGACTGTATTTGCCGCATGCAGCGACGGAGGGGGTGCAGGAGGAGACGGCGCCCGGGAGTTTGAGGATTGTGCAAAGACTGGTCACACCGAGTCTGTCGTCTAGTAGGTGCACATGGTTGCGGTGTGAAGTGGGAGTGAGGCTAACAGGGGAACAGGGCAACCACAGACCATCGGCACCGCACTGAATCACGTGCTACCTGGCTTATTTCCGAGCAGGCGAAGTCCCCTACTGGCACAAGCAGTGCTCCACGGGGCAGCACTACCCTTGGGGGCGAGTGTGGAGGAATTGGTACGTGCAGCAGCGTACCTGGACGGATGGTTGCACATTGCAGTTGTTATGATGGGATGATAAGTAATTGCTTTGTGTCTGGCGCGGTATTAGAAAGCGGCCCGAGTCATGGAGGATGTGCGCTACGCCAATATTGTTGATATCAGCAATATTGGTTTTGCAGGCGAGGGCGAGGGCGAGGGCGAGGGTGAGGGCGTGAGTGTGACGTTGAATGTGTATGGCCGTCGAGCTCGCCACAACTGCTGCATATGCACACGAGAAAGAGGAGCGTTGATATGAGGGCTGCACTGCGTCAGACACAGGCCCGCACGAGTCACCGTCAAGAACGCCAATGTTTGCCAAGATGCGGGGGCAAGCATTGCAGAAGCTTAGTGAGGATCGCAGGAACACACTAATCCAGCCAACATCACACCTACGCAACTCTGTTTGTGAGCAGCAGTCGGCGCTGTCGGCATCGGGCACCGAACACCGGAGCAGGTCCAGCGCCAGCCAAGGTGAGGCGAGGCATGCGGGAAATGAGGCATTATTGGGAGGGTTGTATTGTTTTGGCTTCCGGTGTGCTCGGTCTATCTTGTTGCATGGCATGCCTCCGTCGGCTCTAGGCTCGCGGCCAACTCGGAGCAGGGCGGCAAATGGGGACCATCAGTCAGAAGAGATAAGCATCGGCT